GTGAAGATGAGCAGATGTGAAGATGAGCAGATGTGAAGATGAGCAGATGTGAAGATAAGAAGATGTGAAGATAAGAAGATGTGAAGATGAGCAGATGTGAAGATGAGCAGATGTGAAGATGAGCAGATGTGAAGATGAGCAGATGTGAAGATGAGGAGATGTGAAGATGAGCAGATGTGAAGATGAGCAGATGTGAAGATGAGCAGATGTGAAGATGAGAAGGTGTGAAGATGAGAAGATGTGAAGATGAGAAGATGTGAAGATGAGCAGGTGTAAAGATGAGCAGATGAAGATGAGCAGATGTGAAGATGAGCAGATGTGAAGATGAGCAGATGTGAAGATGAGCAGATGTGAAGATGAGAAGATGTGAAGATGAGCAGATGTGAAGATGAGCAGATGTGAAGATGAGCAGATGTGAAGATGAGTAGATGTGAAGATGAGCAGATGTGAAGATGAGCACATGTGAAGATGAGAGGATGTGAAGATGAGAGGATGTGAAGATGAGCAGATGTGAAGATGAGAGGATGTGAAGCTGAGATGTGAAGATGAGATGTGAAGATGAGAAGATGTTTTACAGACCCCCACTATTGGAAGAACCCTGCGCTCAGACGCTCTCGGGAACAAACATGAAATGTTCCTTCAAATGACGATTCACACATGCAAAGGGTTCCTTCCAAAAGGTGACGACAATGATGATGAGAACGACGATGACGATGATGATGATGATGATGATTGATGATGATATGCATACAGTCCATACAGTTTTTGTCGCCGAATGAAGCGGTGCACAAAAGCTTGGGCATACAAAAAAAAGACATGCTTTCCACATTGTTTTTGTACACACCTTCTTTTGCAGAAATGCTTGTGGACAGGGATATTTTTTGAGAGAAGGCTTGTGCACCCAGACTCGGATGCTTCTAAACACAGGTGCTTGTGCACAGAAGTCTCTACACACATATACACACATGATTTTACACAGAAGACCTTGTACACACAGGAAGTTTCTACACACAGAAGTTCCACTTCCGCACGGCAAGTTTTGATGCACCGAAAGCTTTGACGCACAACAGCATTTACACACAGAATCTTAGAGATGCTTTTACATGCAGGCTCTTTTACAAACGGAAAATCTACACAGAAAGTTGTTGCATGTTTTTGCACACTGGTGCCATTACGCACCGACGCTTTTACATACAGAAGCTCTTACACACTGGCGCCTTTGCACACAAGCCTTTTCACACAAGTGCATTTAAGCACAGATGCTTTCCCAGACGGACGCATTCACACACGCGGTTTTAAGAGACACCAAGCTACTACACACAGGCGCTTTTACACTCAGAATCCGTTAGACAGAGAAGCTTTGACTCGCAGGTTCTGTTACCAACTAAAGTTTTTAGGCAAAGAAAGTAGGCTTTGACACATAACAATTTTACACCGAAGCTGCGCTATACATGCAGGTTCTTTTCCAAACGAACGCCTTTACACAGGAAACTTTTTCATGCAAAAGTGTTTACACAGAGAATCTTCTAGACACAGAAGTTTTTACACACAGATGATGCTTTTACGAACACAAGCTCCTACATGCTCCTACACAGAGAAGGGCGGACAATGCGCGGAGGAAAAGCTGAGGCGATGTGCGTTTGATATTTTTTCGGCTCAAACACCCCTGTGGTTCTATCACAGCAGGAGAAGCGGAGAGTTGAAGCTCAAAAAAGAAAGATGAAGGAACAAGAGGCAAAAAGAAAGGCAGGGCGACCAGCCGCACCATGTGGGTGAGTGGCCGGTGGTTACAAGTGTGCCAAAAAAATAATGGAAAAAGTGAATGTGGATGATCCCAGGAGCAAAGGAAGGATAAGATAAGAATGGGCGCCGATGCCTAATATGCCCAATGCAACCCTGAAACCTGGGGGTTCCATCAAACACATGTTGCCCACCCTGTTTGTTGCAGGACATCAAAGATCCAATTCCATCTGTAGCATGCTTAGGCGCGCTTCACTTCAAACATCTCCGCCCGTGTCCGCCACCGGAGGCGAAGTTGGGATCGGCGTTCCAATTTGAGCCAGAAGACGAGGCCGAAAGCACCAAGAAACAGCTGCAGAACAAGTTGGACAAAGCTAGCCGCAAGGACGGGCCCGGGCATGAATTCCTTGCGTCGAGGTTACAACTGGCCAATGGGCATGGCTGAGGTTCAGGATATGATCAGCTTATTATTCTCAAGATCGTTGCCAAAGCATGTGTTGGCCATGCAGGTGCCAAAAAGAAGTTTGGGGAACATGAATGAACATTGGCCCCCAAAAAACCGGGTGGCAATTAGTTTCATGTTCTATGTTCTATCAAAAAGTATGCGTCCGGGTGGAATATTTTTGAAAATATTTTTCATTTTTCCAGAATGTTGATGTTAACATCAGCTAGCAAGAATCATAGCAAAATAATTTATGGATCCACATGGATCCGTAACCTCCTGATGAGGCAAAATAATTTTCCTCTATGAAATAATTTTAGATAATTGAGTTAAGGCACCCCAAAATAATTAGGAACAATATTTTGAGGCAAGGGATCTGTTTTGAGAATAATAGTGGAACCACCACCAAATAATTTGTTTTCAACCTGTTTGAAATTATTTTGAGGTGGGTGGGTAGCTTGAAAGAAAACTATTTTGGGTTCGTTTTAGTGCTTTTGAAAATATTATTTCCCTCCCAACTACAAGCACCTCTGAAGGGGCTTAAGGTAGCCCGCATCAAGAAACGTTTGATGAGCAAACCTTGCATAACTTGTTCACATCCCCATCTTCAACGCAGATCTCAGGAGGAGCTGCCTTCCTTGGCCCTAGCCTGGGGCAGCGGCGGTCGCGACGCCGACCCACGCTTTGTGGAAGCGATGGGGGGCGATAAATTGCTCCAGGAGGCCAGCTGGTCGGGGAATCAAGGTGGTCTCATGGGCAGAATCGGGACCTTCAAGCCTCGTGCAAGAGTGGGAACATGGACATGGATAGCAAAATTGCAGCAGAGATGAGTGTCAGGGGTCCGGTTTTGCTAGTCCGGATCAGCATCAAAGATGTATCACAGATTTGTGTCACCGGTCCCTGTTCGGAATCTGCTTCGGGGTGGTCTGGATAGTCCTGGTGGGCGGCACAGCCGGGATTGCCGGGACGGTCAGGAATGGTTGGGATGGTTGAGATAGTCGGACGGGTGGAATGGTTTGGGCCGTCAAGATGTTCCATTTCTGCCTCCCGATACTCTTGCATTCGTGGCCATGTAGGAATTTAGGTTGCGCATGGGCCCCAAAATGTGATGCTTTCCGGGCATTTATATAGCGGTTGCCATGCCCGTTTGTTGATCAGAGTCCGTTCCTTCTTGCTTTTTCCAAAAGAAAGGGAGAAAACGTAGCAAGAGAACACATAGCGTAGAAGGCTACTATGTATGACCGGGGCAATGGCGTAAAAAAAATGGGATGCTCGAGCTCTAGGTACGGTTCAAATCCAAGGACGGGCTTTCGCGCAATCCCAATTGAAAAGTACCCGCCGTTTCTAGCTCGTTAGTGTTTGGATATGTTTTTGGGATGGCATGAAATGACCCGCAAGCAAAAATCATTTGTGAGTAGTTTGTTTCCAGTAGTACCGCACAAGGCGGTGGCGGAAATTTCAACTAGACGACGGATGGCCCGAGAGCGTAGAGGAGCAGGGTCTTCTCTTGTTAGTATGGAGATGCAATTTTAGAAACGGTATATGAAAGCTGTGTTATAGGCAGTCGAGAAGAGGAGTATCAAGACAAAATAGTGAGAAGTGCAAGACAATAGTTTGCATCGCAAACACTTTTACACACAGACGCTTTTACACACAAAGCTTTTACACGCAAAGCTTTTACCCACAGAAGCTTTTCCCACAGAAGCTTTTACACACAGAAGCTTTTACATACAGAAGCTTTTACACACAGAAGCTTTTACATACAGAAGCTTTTACACACAGACGCTTCTACACAGACACTTTTACACACAGACACGTTTACACACAGACACTTTTACACACAGACGCTTCTACACAGACACTTTTACACACAGACACGTTTACACACAGACACTTTTACACACAGACCCTTTTACACACAGGAGCTGCTTTTACACACAAACGCTTGTACACACAGAAGCTTTTACACATAGACGCTTTTACACACAGGCACTTTTACACAGAAACACTGTTACACACAAACAGTTTTACACACAGACGCTTTTACACACAGACGCTTTTTACACACAAACGCTTTGACACACGGACGCTTTTACACACAGACGCTTTTACACACAGACCCTTTTACACACAGACGCCTTTACACACAGACACTTTTACACACAGACGCTTTTTACACACAGACACTTTTTACACACAGACGCTTTGACACACAAACACATTTACACACAGACGCTTTTACACACAGACGCTTTTTACACACAGACGCTTTTTACACAGACGCTTTGACACACAAACACATTTACACACAGAGGCTTTTACACACAAACGCTTTTACACAAACACTTTTACACACAAACACTTTTACACACAGACGCTTTTACACACGGACGCTTTTACACACAGAGACTTTTACACACAGAGACGCTTTTACACACAGAAGCTTTTACACACAGACGCTTTTACACACAGACGCTTTTACACACAAACACTTTTACACACAAACACTTTTACACACAGACGCTTTTACACACAGACGCTTTTACACACAGACGCTTTGACACACAGACGCTTTTACACACAGACGCTTTTACACACAGACGCTTTTACACACAGAAGCTTTTACACACAAGTAAAATCGCAGTTTTTCCTCAGTTTTTGACGATCGACCCTCATTTCGTACGAAAGGGTTGCGCGGGGGCAAGTAAAATCGCAATTTTTCCTCAGTTTTTGCCGATCGACCCTCATTTCGTGCGAAAGGGTTGCTCGGGGGCAAGTAAAATCGCAATTTTTCCTCAGTTTTTGCCGATCGACCCTCATTTCGTGCGAAAGGGTTGCTCGGGGGCAAGTAAAATCGCAATTTTTCCTCAGTTTTTGACGATCGACCCTCATTTCGTGCGAAAGGGTTGCTCGGGGGGCAAGCAAATCGCATTTACCTCAGTTTTTGCCGATCGACCATCATTTCGTGCGAAAGGGTTACTCCAGCACAAGTCAAATCGCAATTTTACCTCAGTTTTTGCCGATCGACCCTCATTTCGTGCGAAAGGGTTGCTCGGGGGCAAGTAAAATCGCAATTTTTCCGCAGTTTTTGACGATCGACCCTCATTTCGTGCGAAAGGGTTGCTCCAGCACAAGTCAAATCGCAATTTTTCCTCAGTTTTTGACGATCGACCCTCATTTCGTGCAAAAGGGTTGCTCCGGCACAAGTCAAATCGCAATTTTACCTCAGTTTTTGCCGATCGACCCTCATTTCGTGCGAAAGGGTTGACGTTTCGTGACTCGCCGCCGGCACCACCCTCGGCCTTAAGAGAGAAAGATAAAAAGAATGCGTGAGAGAGAAGGTGAGCAGGTGTGAAGATAAGAAGATGTGAAGATGAGCAGATGTGAAGATGAGCAGATGTGAAGATGAGCAGATGTGAAGATGAGCAGATGTGAAGATGAGCAGATGTGAAGATGAGAAGGTGTGAAGATGAGAATGAGAAGATGTGAAGATGAGCAGATGTGAAGATGAGCAGATGTGAAGATGAGCAGATGTGAAGATGAGCAGATGTGAAGATGAGCAGATGTGAAGATGAGCAGATGTAAAGATGAGAAGATGTGAAGATGGGAAGGTGTGAAGATGAGCAGATGTGAAGATGGGAAGGTGTGAAGATGAGCAGATGTGAAGATGAGCAGATGTGAAGATGAGAAGGTGAGAAGATGGGAAGGTGAGAAGATGAGCAGATGTGAAGATGGGAAGGTGTGAAGATGAATGAGCAGATGTGAAGATGAGAGGATGTGAAGATGAGAGGATGTGAAGATGAGCAGATGTGAAGATGAGAGGATGTGAAGATGAGAGGATGTAAAGATGAAAAGATGTGAAGATGAGAGGATGTGAAGATGAGAGGATGTAAAGATGAAAAGATGTGAAGATGAGAGGATGTGAAGATGAGATGTGAAGATGAGAGGATGTGAAGATGAGAAGATGTTTTACAGACCCCCACTATTGGAAGAACCCTGCGCTCAGACGCTCTCGAGAAAAATAGGAAACCTATAGGAAGGGTTGGTTGTTGTGACTCACGGGTGGCAGAGCGAATCCACTGATGGACCGAAAGGTGGTTGGAGTTGTGTTTTCTGGAAGGTTGCAATGGTTGCAGTGGTCACCTCACCACAACTGCTGGACGTCGTGTGGTGTAGCGACTGTATATAACGTAGTGGAGTTGTAGTTGTAAGTTGTAGTTGTAATGTAGTTGCAAGATGTTGTAAGTTGTAGTTGTAATGTAGGTTAATTAGTGTAGTTGCAGTTGCAGTTGTAGTGTAGTTGTAGTGTAGTGTCGTGTAGTGCAATGTAGTGGTAGTTGCAGCTGTAGCGTAATGTAATGTAATAAGTGTAGTGTAGTGTTGTGTAAAGTTGTGTAGTTGTAGAGTTGCAGTTGCGTTTGCATTTGTAGCTGTGGTGGTGGTGGTGGTGGTGGTGGTGGTGGCGGTGGTGGTGGTTGTTGCTGCTGTTGCTGTTGCTGTTGTAGTAGTTGCTGTTGTAGTAGTTGCTGTTGTAGTAGTTGCTGTTGTAGTTGTTGCTGTTGTGGCAGTTGCTGTTGTAGTAGTTGTAGTGTAAATAGTGTAGTGTAGTGTAATGAGTGTAGCGTGGTGTAGTGTAGTGTAGCGTAATTAGATGCAATTAGCGTAGTGTAGTGTAATTAATGTTGTGTAATGTAGCGTAGTCGAAGGAAGTTTAGAAGTCAAACTTCCGACAATATGGACAGATGAAAAGCAGAGACGGGAAGAGTCAGAGAGAAGAGAAGAGTAGAAGAGAGAAGATCAGAGAAGAGAAAGAGTCAGAAGAAAGAAGATCCAGGTGCGCGAAAAGGTAGGCAAGTCGCGAAACACCGTGTTTTTCCAATGATTTGTGGCTCCGGCGGGTCGAAAAATAGGCTCGCTAAAGCAGCGGGTGCGGAGCCAGCTGGCTAGATGAGATGAAAAATTGCACGCCGTTGTGGCGCGAAGCACATTTCCAAGTCAAAATGTACAAATCACACCAGGTTCGGACCAGTTTTTGAAGTTGAGATGTCGAAAAAGTTCACACCGTTGTGGCGCAAAGCACACTTGCAAGTGAAAAAACTAAAAACACCTCAGGTTCAAAGCGATTTTGGAAGTTGAGATGTCGAAGAAGTGCACGCTGATGCGGCGCGAAGCACATTTCGAAGTAAAAATGTGCAAAACACATGGAAGCTGCGATGTCGAAAAAGTGCACGCCGTTGTGGCGCGAAGCACATTTCGAAGTCAAAATGCACAAAACACACCAGATCTGGAGCACTTTTGGACGTTGAGATGTCGATATAGTGCACGCCGTTGTGTCGCGAAGCACATTTCGAAGTCAAAATGTTAAAAGCACCAAGGGTTCGGACCACTTTTGGAGGTTCAGATCTGCTTTCGCGTGGCAGGCGCAAGGGATTGTGGACCTTGTCAAAAGTAAGCAAAACGTGAGGGTTTTGTAGCATGTCCAAAGACGATGAGGATCTGCATTTTTAGTGGCAGGCGCAGTACAAGAGACATCTTCATCAGAGCTGTTAGGAGGTCCGGGCGGTGATTTCCTGAGACAGGTTGCATTTTGGAGCCTCAGATCTTCAGGTTTGCTGAGAGCACTTCGTATGACCTGGCATCACTTTTTCGCGGCAGGCGCAGTAGTTTAGACAAATGGATTGGAAAAATTGCAACATGCATTGGTACGAGGCCGTCAACGCTGCATGCAACTTTCCATTTTTGAAGGAAGTCTCGCAGAATTGCGTCGTTTTTGATGTTGTCAAGTTTGAAAATTGAAGAAGTTTCGCAGAATTGCTTCGTTTTTGACGTT